ACGAAGCTGCCTTTTGAGTGACTGAAAAGTCGAGTGTCAGTCCTTCGTCAGAGCCCTGCCGTGACAAGGGGCTAACGCTCGAGAGATCAGCTTTAGAAACTCTTTATGTTGGCCTCTTAAAACCCTTTAACTCCCAGATCAAATTTGTCATTCTCCTTACTGTCAACCATACAATTCTTATAATGTAAAGTCAAAGAATTCAGTATTGGATCAACTAATTATCCCCAAACTGATATTTTTCTTCACTCTCATCACTTGTCTGGTTGATACCGTGATGATATTGTTGGGAGGAACTCTGTCTTGGTCACTCGTGGGAGTTAAAGGGTTAATATTATCAACTCAGTTGATCAAACCAAATTATCATGTAACAACTCACCGACGCAGCACCTCAGTTTCTGTAGGAACTACCCCCCTTTCTTCATTCTTTTTGAAGTTTCGCAGAGTTGGCTCATGGCTATGTAGGAGCAGATCTTACCGCTGTGTGTAAAGAAGCAGGGCTCATGTCATTCAAACGTTGTTTAGCGGAACAAAACGGACTTTCCACCGATGACGTCGGGGTCCAGGAGGAATACTTAAAAGAGCGCCTTTTGGTCACCAGAGAGGACATCATGGCGGCGTTCCGACAGGTCCGCCCCAGTGCTATGCGCGAAGTGTCTATTGATGTACCTAAGGTGGGAATCGTGTTCAATGGTATTTCTGTTTGACCTTGGAGAATGATGGTTTGCCGGCTTAAAAGGCCGGTTTGTGGAAGAGGCTTTTTAATTACCGACGGTCCTCGGTCTATTTTTGCAAAACCATGAATACCGAGCGCTCGTGAGCAAACTGCAATTCAGAGAATCGGTAGAGTCAATATTTTTGCAGCGCAATTGAAAACTTGTTATTTTCCTTCGTCTAGGAGAATTTTTAATTTGGTGTCTTTAGTGATATAGGCTTGCGTTAGCTCTGTTCTACTTCGCTCTGTGATTGATCCAGAAAATACGCGTCACCATCAGACGCAGAACGAACACCAACTGCGTCTTGGTTACTCGCGTTTTCCCGGGCTTCGCACAATTTGCTTGTTTTTTTTTGTTGTTGTTGGAATTACCATCGGCTCCTCGCTTTACTGTCCTTTTACCTTCAGTGGCCGTTGTAAATACTTTGATGTTGGTTTCACGGCACTCAATCGAAATTCACAGAAAAATTTATTTATCCAAGAGAACACTACCTTTCTAGTAGACAATACGTGAATTTGTCGATACCAAAAATGCCCTGCTCTATTTTATTCCCGAGCTCAAAATTTACCATCTTTCTTATTCTATAACTTGTGTAGGTTCGTTGGGAGGATATCGGAGGAAATGCAGTCATCAAACAGAAGCTAAAACAAGCTGTGGAATGGCCACTAAAACATCCAGAGGTGATTAACAATAACTTTGAATTTATACGAAAGAGAAATAAACCAAGAGACATACATGAAGTGATTCCTACGAGCCATGCCAGTCTTCGTACGAGTTGCAATTTATCTATAAAATTGTGGCTTATATTTTACTGGTACTGAATCTCCCGGGACCGTTTTGTACAAACCACGATGAAGCTATACCATGATTAGCGTGATATTTTTCTCTTAAATGAATAAAGGGGGTAACTTTCTAAAGAAACTGTGGTTCTACGTCGGTGAGAAAGTATAAAAAAGTAAGTTTGTATTAGTTGGGTATTATCAACACTGCGATAAAATCTCACAAAACCTTAGCCTCTATATACGTTATAAAACGTAAGGAATGAAAACCAATTTTAACGCCAGTCAGGGCTAACTTCGATCTTGGCCCTGACTTTTCTGACGGACAATCTCTTTTAATTGGTTCCCCAAAAGGCGTTTCAACGATTGGGTATTCGCCCTCCCAAGGGGATTCTGATGTACGGTCCCCCGGGATGCAGCAAGACGCTTGTGGCGAGAGCACTGGCCACAGAAAGTGGGCTCAACTTCTTGGCAGTGAAAGGGCCTGAACTGTTCAGTAAGTGGGTTGGAGAATCTGAGAAAGCAGTGAGACAGGTCAGTGGTGAACAGTCCAGCGAGATGCCTCGCGGGTGATAATGCGTCAAATTCCTCAAGTGTAACTACTTGTCATCTGGCAAGTATCTTCGCTTTCTCCTCAGCGAGTTACTAGTACGTTAAAAAAATTAATCCCTAATATTCCATGTGAAATTAGACAAATACTGGTGCCTTCTACCTTCTTGACTTTGCCACCGAACCCGGAAATTTATCCTCTTACTCTTTCATTCGAAAATTAGTTCTAAGGCATTCTGTCTAAACGTCAATCGCCATGTTATAACATCATATTCAATAACTTGCTATAGAGTAAAAAAGATAGTACATTTTGCGCTCGACAATGAAAAGAAGAAAGTTTTTTTTTTTCGAAAAACTTCTTGCTCTAAAACTTACCATCACTTTTCCAGGTTTTCCAAAAAGCACGTGCTGCCGCACCATCCATCGTTTTCTTCGACGAAATCGACGCCCTCGCAGCGCGCCGTGGGAGTGGTGGAGATGACGGTGGGTCAAGTGTATCCGACCGCGTTCTCACTCAACTCTTGACTGAGCTGGATGGCGTGGAAACACTTAAAGACGTTGTCATGGTTGCGGCCACGAACCGTCCTGATATGATTGACAAGGCACTGCTCCGCCCTGGAAGAATTGATCGGATTGTGTATGTGCCACTTCCGGACAAAAACGCGAGGGAGGAGATCTTTAAAATCCACCTCAATGATACTCCCCTGGGAGATGACGTCGTAATGGGAGATCTTGCTGAAAATACCGAGATGTTCTCGGGAGCTGAAATAACAGCGTTGTGCCGTGAGGCCGCTCTGATGGCCCTTCAAGAGGACATTGAGTCAAATGAAGTGCTTAGGAGACATTTCGATGAAGCTTTTAGGGCGGTGAAGCCTAGAACTTCTAGGGAGTTGATAGAAATGTACAGAAAATACCAGAATGAAAGTGGTGTGCATTCTATTTAGTAGGCTAAGATTTTGACATGTCTTCTGAACGTAAAACGCCAATTTAGACCTCTGGAAGGCTGTCTTGAAAACAATAAATCAGCAGTTGTTCAAGTTGTCCTTTTTTTTCTCGTTTCAATGCAGTGCAGACTCTACGAAATGAATACAGGGGCCCTGTACTCTTATGAATCTATTGAATGTGTCTTTTGCCGTTTGTGATCCCATGTACAAATTTCCTTTTTGGGTATCCAAATTTAGATCGTATTTGTGTTAGTTCCTCTATAGCGTCATTTACTCTCCAGAGAGGTGATATCTATAATTGCGAATCAAGGATCTGCTCCAGCCTTATGGAGAGAGAAAAGTTCTTGCTAGTTCCTCTTTATAGCAAACCACATAGAATAGTTAACCGATCACAACCAAGACGCCGGATTTTTGATCAATCAAGAAGCAGAAAATTACCACGGTCGAGGGTTCACATTCAGTATTAGCGATCGTGGCATGGTGTTCGCCTTCAGGAAACTATCCATTAATGGAGTGACTCTTCACTCAGTCGTAGCCAAGGTGTTTGAAAGAATTGTCTATGATCAATTATATGCCTATTTAGAAGAGCAAAGTATCATCTGTAAATATAAATCGGGTTTTCGCGCTACTTATTCAAATGTTACGGCCCTCCTTGAAGCCACTGACACTTAGGCGTATAATATTGATCGTGGAAAAACCAACGCTGTCGTTTTTCTTGATTTAAAAAAGGCCTTCGACACAGTTGATCGCGAGATCCTCCTATCCAAGTTAAGCCACTACGGCATATGGGGAAATGCGTTCAAATGGTTTAAGTCATACTGAGAGAATCGCACGCAAATGTACCCCATTAATGGGTCGTTATCTAATAACCGTTCATTAACTTGTGGAGTCCCCCAGGGGACGATTCTCGGGCCATTGCTATTCCTGTTATATATCAATGATCTTCCGAGTTGTTTATCCAATTGTGAACCGAGGATGTACGCCGACGACACCCACTTTATATATGCGGGTGATTGTGTAGACGATCTCCCAGTTATATTTAAATCAAGACTTAGAAAATTTTCTCAATTGGTTGAGAGCGAACAAACTTACTTTAAATATGACTAAAACTGAGTTTATGCTCATCGGTTCAAGGCAGAGATTGAGTACTCTCGCAGTTTCTCCCATGATCACAATTTATGACGATCAAGTTAGCCAGGTTACCACCGCAAAATCACTTGGAGTGACCATCGATAACAAACTCGATTGGAGCAGTCACATCGATGAACTAACAAAGAAAGTCGCTTCTGACATTGGAGCTATAAAACGAATAAGGCACCTTGTCCTTCAAGCGACTTTGCTTCTAATATATCAAGCTCTGATCACAGCCACATTTTGACTGTACTATTGTAATATTGTTTGGGGAAACTGCGGGATAACTTTGCAGAACAAAGGAACAGAAACCACAAGACAGAGCAGGCCGTGTTTTGACGTATTCAAATTATGACGCTGATGCTGGTCACTTGTTTGAGCTCCTGAGATGGAAAAACCTAGCTTCCCAGCAGCAAATTCAAAGAGCCATAATGGTCTTTAAGTCTCTTCAAGGTTTAGCTCCAGATTATTTATGTTCTAAATTTGAAAGACGAGAAACTGCGTAGAACCTAAGAGACTCTGAGAATAAGCTTAATGTTCCTTTGCCACGCACAAGCTATTACAAAAATAACTTTAGCTATAGTGGCGTTACCATTTGGAACAGACTTCCTCGTGACGTAAGACAAGCAGAGTCCCTAGGGTTATTTAAGTGTTTAATTAAAGAAGTACGTTCAAGCACGGCATTCGTGGAAAGCAGCTTTAGTTAGGTTTGTACTTTAAGTATAGTTTTTATAGTATCTTAGCCATTTAATGCATGTTTATATATTTAAATGTTTTTATGGCTGATGAATTGTCCGTGGGTAAATAAAGATTATCTATCTATCTCCTACCCAAGCCCCTGCTCGTCACTAGTCTGCAATGTAACAGGTTTTTCTGCTTCATGAATGACTTCACGTGGATTAATAACTCGCATCTGATATTTTCAATGTTTTCCAGAGTTCGAGCTCCTTCCACAGGTATTTAACGTATTTTAAAAGAATATCATGTACCTGGAATTCACTAAGCGAAGATTTCATTGTTGTGCACTGATTTTAGCCCTATTAATGAGCTTTCGATCCGAGATGAGTAAATGAATTAAATCCCAATTTCAACCCAGGAGCAGATGTTTTTACACGCTTTTTTTTTTTTCACACAGTATGAAAAGGCGGCATGAGGGTCAAACAAAATTGTACCAGTTCAAGAACTGCCGTTTACTGAGAGACAGTAAATTAATTGAAGAAGACCTTTGGGTGAGAGACGGCAAGATTATTGATCCACGAGATGTATTTTGGGGAGGGAAAGTTCTCGCCGATGTTCAAATTGATTGTAACAGTTTAATCATAAGCCCAGGATTTATTGATCTCCAAATAAATGGTAAGTTCTCATTTTGTCTACATAACTTGAAACTGTTTTGCGATTGAGATGGTTGCAGCCTCTTGCAAAGGGGATTAGGGAAATGGTTGTGCTTTTGCTCCATCTTGAAACCTATCACGTTCATGTTGTTTGAAGGGGGTTGGGTTTGTGTTTGTCCCTGTGGAGGCTGTATAGGCACTTAACCTTTACACCCTAACGTCAGTATTCATATTCTCCACACTGTTCTCTGTACGTTTACTGAGGTGCTGACAAGGAGAATTTGTCTAACAATCAAGAGTTTCTTCTTTTATTCTCATGATATTATAATGTGTGATTCAGTGGTGATATCGTAGAGAGAAATTTGATGCTGGTCACTCTTAGGTGTTTTAGGGTTTAGACTCCACATTGACCTTGTAGGGTTCCTCAGATCCCCAAGGTAGAAAGAGAATCTTCCAGCAGACCATGATTTCTCTCACAGCTTGATGGGGCTCTGCCTCTACTTATGTTTGTCTATGTATACATAGGAGACAATGAAGCCTTGTATTTTCTTTAATATTTGTTACATTCAAGGTGGATTTGGAGTTGATTTCTCTTCTGATCCCGATAAGTTGGAGGAAGGTTTGAAGACTGTTTCCAAGGGTTTGTTACAGCATGGTGTGACATCTTACTGTCCTACAATTGTCACATCATCGCAAGCAAGTTACAATGAGGTAAATAATGTCCTATTATGGAATAGCAACATGCACACTTAAAGGCCTGTCCTGTTACAGCTTATCATGGTTTCTGTTGCATGGAGTGACAGGAAATATTACATGTTCTTGTAGTGTTGCTTTCTTCTCTAGGAAAATCTAGCCATATCAGAAGCTAATAAATCCTTGACCCTTCAACTCCCAGATCAAATTTGTACTTCTCTTCACTGTCAACCATATAATTCTCATGATGTTAGTTCAGAGAATTTAGTATTGGATCGGCCAATTATCCCCTAATTGATATTTTTCTTTATTCTCATCACTTATCTGGTCAGTATTATATTGATAATGTAAGGAGAAATTCTGTCTTGGTCACTCATGGGAGTTAAAGGGTTAAAATGCTGTGTGGAACTTTCATTTGTCCCCAGATTTTGAAGAAGATAAAACGAACCCCAGGTGGAGTTCATGGTGCAGAAGTATTAGGTGAGAATTACCTAATAATGATAACAATATCAAAATGATGAAACTGATGGTTTTGATAAATATCATGATGGTGATAATTTGACAATGGAGATGTAGATGATAATGCAATCATTATAGTTGTGCAGGGAATGACATTTATGACAGCTGCGATAATGGTGATGATGATGATAATCATGAGGATAGTGACTGTACACCTTGAGACGGAACAGTAGTAGTGTGTTGACTAAATCAGCAATCCTTGAATGATTGTGGTCATTTTGTAGTTAATTCTAACACCATGATGATCATAGATGAATTCAAAGGGTTAAAGCAACTCAGTTGTTAATCATCATAATCGCAGGTGCCCATTTGGAAGGTCCATTCATAAATCCTGAAATGAAAGGAGCTCACAAAGAACATCTGATGAGGCAGATCAGCACCAAAGGAGCCCAAGAAATCGAGGACTTTTACAGTTCATTAGATCATGTGAGCATCATAACAATAGCTCCCGAACTGGCTGGGGAAAGTATGGAGTCCATACAACAGTTAGTAAAGAGGAACATTGTGGTATCAATAGGTGAATTTTAGAAACAACTTTTCCTGTTTTATTAATGGAAAAAAGAATATGACCTTGTAATCTACCAGGCTGTGTAATCAAGTATAGGGGACCTGACTGCTTTTAAAAAGCCACTTGATTATTCTGACAGGCAGCTTTTATTTTTTTGCTCTAGATAGAGTACATTATTACTATCTTAGGTGTTGCAGTCATCTTGTATTTTCTACCAAAATTTTTATTCTCCAAAAGTTTTCATTTAAAGGAGGAATCCATTGTCAGTACTGTGTTCAATCATTACTAACCATTACTTGAAATGTGGGAGAGGCTAATATCAGCAGACTGGACTGTGGAGGGGAGGGGGGTGGGGTCAAAAGGTCCAGGTTTGAGTCCTTAGCAGGTCATTTATTGTGGTTTTGGGAAAGACACTTAACTCACAGAGACCCTCTCCACCCAGGAGTAACAATGGGCCCTGGCAAACTATCAAGGATACCTGATAAAATGCTTGGGGGTAGCATTCAGTGCTATGGAAACAAGGATATCAAACTGTGGCAGTATGAGCCGTTAATGCATGCTTAAGAGCAGACTTTACCTTTACATTTGTTGCTCAAAACAGTTGATGTTTCCCATCTTTGCAGGTCACTCTGCAGCAAACTTGTCCATTGCAGAGAAAGCAGCAGACAATGGTGCTACATTTATCACTCATCTATTCAATGCTATGTTGCCAGTAAGTATTGTGTAACAGACTTTACTCAAGCCATAAATGAAGAGCCCCTTATTGATCACATAAAATTTTCAGGGTGGTCGAACCTTCTGTCTTTATGGAAATCAAGGTGAATTTGAGAAAATTAATATACAAGGACAGTAACCCCTTGAGTACTATAATTTGATCTGAAACAGAACAATAAAACCACAATAAGGCAAATTAGGTCTTTCATCCTGTATTTTATTGTAATATACCATGTAGAACCTATGACTATAACTTTTGGTTTTAGTTCCATCACAGAGATCCTGGTATTGTTGGACTTCTCACAAGTTACGATATCCCTAAACCCATATTCTATGGACTTATAGCTGATGGAATTCATACACATCCAACAGCCACAAGAATAGCACACAGATCACATCCTAATGGTATGGAAGTGCTCTGTAGCCTTAATCAACTCATTACCTGTCTCCCACTTTGAAAACGGGGGTTAATTTCTTAAGAAACTATGGTGCTATGTCAGTAGCACCCCATTTACAGCTATACTGGGGACCAAGGAGAGAAGAATGCTGATCATTATTTTCCAGGATAAACTTATTCCTTGACTGTAATGGCTTCTGTTGCAGTGATGTTGTGATTGGTTCTCATACAATTTTGAAAAGCATGTCTTTCTGCGAAACCTGTAGGAAGCATCCTTTTGATATCCGATGCAACTGATGTTATACTCCACCTATGCAATAAGCTTGTTCTCGAGTACCTCTCATCACTTGATATGTAATATACATTAGATCCTTCCCCTCTCTCTTTCAAACTTTCACAAACAAAAAAGCTTGTGCATTTGGTAATCTTGTTTTCTTTTTTTCTCAAACAGGACTTGTTTTAGTCACTGATGCTATTGCTGCCCTTGGACTTCCTCCAGGATTACACAAGCTCGGCCCAATGCAAGTCGAGATAAATCATGAAAAAGCCACCTTAAAAGGAACTAACACACTTGCAGGAAGGTATAGTCTCTAGACACTATGCTACACCCTATGGGAACCAATTTCACTAGGACTATTTGGGCACCTGGGCTGGGTGAGGAAGTCAGAACTCCCCCCCTCCCCCTTCACACTGATTCCTGTTTATCTGTGCCTTTTTTTTTTTTTTACATTATTTCATCTAAAGTATTTTACACCTTTGCACTCTCTCCTCCAATCAGCCCCTCCTCCCCTAGCACAATTACTAGTTCCTTTCACAGTAATACAAAACAAGATAATCCTCTTTGTAATAAGTTAGAATGCTCAGCCACCCTAACATTAGCATGCATATTCCCCATACTGTTGTTAATACATTTCCTAAGGTGTTGACGAAGAGAATTTGTTTAACAGTGGAGAGCTAAGCCAACGTGTAGCTGTACCCTCCTCCCCCCCCCGCGCGCAAGGTGAAACGGAAGCGATCGAACTTTTACGCCAACCTGACACTAATCTTATAGCGGGGAGGGGATGGTACGGCTACACGTAGGCTATCGAGAGTAGCTAGCCTACGTGTAGCTGTACCCTCCCCCCGCAAGGTGAAACGAATGCGAGGGAATTTCCACGCAAACCTGACACTAATCGTGTTCCGTGAGGTCACTCTAATTTATGCAAAACAATGTCACTTGCTAATATTTTTTTACGAAGTGACACGTGTTAGCGTAAAGGTTATCGAGATAAACAACAACATTGAAGTGAATTTATTTTTCCATTTTTCTGGTAAATTTGCAATTTAGCGACCGAGTTCAAATGTGAACGGCACAATGAACATAGTGACCGGTTCATCTAGTAGTTACGAAAACGAAGACCTAAGACCATCTACGAAAACG